AAAAAAAAAAAAAACAAAAAAAAAAAAAAAGTGAGACAAGTTAACGCCACGCTGATGCGACTGTGAGTGTTCTTCCCATCCAACCAAAGCAAATCCCACCATTCTCTTCCTTCACGGTGAGTGCCGAGTTGACACGGGTGTTACCCGAAGCGAGTTGCAATTTAATTGACTCGGCAATGGTTTGACTCAGTGGCTTCAGCTGAAACCCCGCCATGCTCATACGCGCGCGCCATTTCCCGAAAACCTCGCAACGCTCCACCCGGTCCCTTCCCTCACACGCCACCGAGTTACACAGTTTACGACTCAGTCCTTCCTCGACCTTGACTCTGTCAGGGTTGTTGTCAATGGATTCCAACAACGCGCCGTAGTAAGAAAGCGTTTCCGCCACGCGCACCAAAAACGGCGCTGTGTTAGCGTTCATTTCCTGCTCCACCACAGTCACCACGCGCGGGGCGAGTCGCTTCACGCGCCGAAGAAGCTCGTCACGAGGATTCTCAGTGGAGACGCTTTCGTCGGGAATCCTGTTCAGCTTGTACGCCAAGTTCACCGCGAGAACCTCGTCCGCGTCACATCCCAAGGACTCGCGAGTCAACTCGGCGAGTTTCTGAGTTGCGATGAGTTTAAACTCGAATCCAATCCTCAGCCGCTCCGCATGCCGGCTCAGCATCTCCCCCACCGCGAGGACTCTCTCCTCGCCGCCTTTCTCCGCCACCGCCACGATCTTCACCGTGGCGCCGGCAGGAACCGCGCTGAGGAGATGCATGTATTGCATTCCCTGTCCAATCTCGAAATCCACCACGCAGAACCTGTTGTCTGTTTTCTCCTCAAATGCGGCTTCGAGGATCGCGAGATTCGCAGCCATGAACCCTACCTTGAAGCAAACCGAGTTTTCCAGAAGCAGCTGAGTCGACTCGGTGTGTTCTCTGGCGAAAAGGTCAGCCACCGGTGGAGGATATTCCACCGGATTCATCCTTGATTTCAAGGCTGAAACCATGCAATCGGTCAACCTATCAGAACGGTTCAGAGAACCATTGAAACGGTTCAGGATCTCCATAGCCACATCGTGTTTTCCTTCAACAATTGCATATGCGGCGTCCATTAGCGTCTGTTTGGAGCATCCCGAGGCAGGCGAAGCAACAGAAGTAGACGATGATGTAGACGACGTGGTGGAAGAAGTCGGCGACGTCGTCGTGGGAACCGGTTTCTGAACCGGACCGGGACCGGGACTGATTAAATTCTGATAAGTCTCCGACCACTCGCTGGTGGTTATCACGGAGGCAGCATCGGCTTCTCCTTCTTCATCGTTGTCTTCCAGAAGCTGCTTCTCCAATTCCTGAAGCCGGTGGTCCATGATCTTCTCCGGCTCACTCCGGTGAACCGGTCCAGGAACAGAAAGGTTAACCCGGTTCTGCGGTAAACCTAAATTCGAGTTTCGGTAACCCAAATTTGGGCCATTCATGTGTCCGGGCCCGTTGTTGGGGAGGTTAATGGGCTGAGGGCGGAGCTGGTGGAGTAAGGGAACACCAAAACGCGGCGTTTGGTGGTGGTAAACTGAAGGATTTTGGTTTTGGCTTTGATGTTGTAATTCGGGAATAGGAAAATCCATGGGTGAGAGAGGGGAGCTATGGGAGAAAGAGGTTCGGGGCTTAACAGAACGAAGCAGGAAGTTCGAGAGAACGTGGTTGTGGTTGTGGTTGTGGTTGTTGTTGGTTTGGTTGTAGGTTTGGAATTCGGTGTGGGAGCGTTTGCTACCTAAGAAGGTTGGTGTTTGGTGTTGTGCGATCTGCGAGGAAGGATCTAGAAACATTGCAGGGAGGTTCTGCTGGGTTCGGTAGAGAGGGTGGAGGTTGGAGGTGGCAGAGGAAGGAGCCGCGTTGGGGTTGTTCATGGTGGATCTGCCAGAGAAGCCACTGCCTCCGGCGAAAAACTCCGACGATGACATTCTAGGATTGAGAGAAGAAAATAAGGAGAAAAGGAAAAACAGTTAAAAGGTTGTGCTTTTGTGGAAACGCATCAGAGAGAATGTGTGTCTTTGGTTTGGTTTTGTGTTGTGGTGTGTGGTGTGGTGTGGTGTTTCTTATGGAGTTGAAATGATTCTGATGAATATAACGGTGAACGGCAAAGTTTTTTTTTATTTAATTTTTATAATTAATATTAATATTATAATATTCCTTCTTTTTGGGGGTTTTAAAATACGAGTGTAGAATGTTTCGCATCAGAGTTTGTACGCATTGAGATCAGGCCGTTGATTCGAAGAACCCTAAGGCAACGAACGGTGATTAGAGCGTTGCGTCGTGGCATGCGAAACGCACACTTGTTTCGTTATTTAATAACGAACTTGATGAACGGCGTGAGGGAAGTGGACACGCTACCTCTCTCTCTCGCGCGTGTGAGAAACGGATAAAGTGCGCATTTGACAGAGCGTTGTTGTTGGTGTTGTGAAACTTCTCAAAATGAATGTAAATTGAAAATCTGATAAAGCGTTAGTTGTTAAGATGGAGATTGCGTTAATCAATCACTTAAGTTCATTTTTTTTATTTTATTTTTTTCCTTTTCATATTCCTCGTAGTTGGTGCTGTTGCATTTTTATATTCATTTATAATTCTGCTCTGAAACATGTTATTCGATGTTCTTTAGATATCATTTTGAAAACTATTACTGTAGGAGTATCATTTAAATTTAATAGCTTTTAATGGTATAATAATTTGTGCTTTGTCAATTCTGGACAAGAAAATATAAATTGTGAACAAATCGAATTAAATCTTATATTTTTTCCTTAAATTTATGATGAAAAAGTTCAATTTTAAGATTTGCATATGCATAAAAATATTTGTTAAAAAGGTTAATCTTTTATATAGATTTTTGGATATTCTACACATCTAAATTATTGTATGCAAATAAAATAACTTATTTTTATGAAGTTTTGCTCTTCAAAAAATTGAAAAAATGATTTATATATATTTTATAAAAAAAAACTAATTTAATATATTATATTTTATGTTTCTTGGTTGTCTAAAAGTAGCATCTCATTTAATGCACAATCACCGAACAAGGAATATATATATATATATTTTTTTTAAAATTTTCTTGTAATATTTTAAGAATTTATAGGGTGAAAAATATAAAACTTTTATAATATTACCGTTATATATTCACAGAATGGTTTTGTAGAACAGAATTAATATAGATTTTTTTTTCTCTTTGTTTTCAACATAACTAAGTATATTTTAACATGTATATTTTAAACGGATTAAATATTTATTATATATAATTAAATTTTATAATAAATTAATTATACAAATAAAAATTTTATTTGAATATATAATCGTTAAATATACAGAGTTGTTAGTGTAGTTATGTTTAAAGATATAACTTTAAATAATAAAAAAAAATAAGATATTTTAATAATGAGCATTTCAATTAAGTTTTAATACAATAAATTTTAATAAGTTTTTGTTATAACTTGATCTCATTCATATCCGTGTACATTAATGTATATTTATGCACAAATTATAATAAAAAAGAATAATTTTATTTAAAAATAATTTTTAAATATTTTATGAAGATTATGAAAAGAGTGAATGTGACAATTAGCATTTTTATTTTTTAACTTTTTAATTTCTTACGTAAAGAAAATAGCTTTTAAGTGTAACAAAAAAAAATTTAAAAAATATTAATATTTTAATTCATTGTTTTACAAATTTATTTATTTATTTTTATTATTATTTATATAATAAATATATTAATTTTTAATTATATCATATAGATAAAATGATTGATAACTTTACTTATTTTTATTATTTATTCATAAAATATAAGCTAGTTATTTTTATAAGCACTTTAGTACAAATATTTTTTATTTAACTTTTACTTATTATCTTATAGATAAATCGGGTCATACCAAGTTAACTATACACACCGTAATTACTATTTATAATTGACTAAATTGTATATTTTTTAAGATAAAAAATTAATAATTATTATTAAAATATGTTATATTTATATAATTTATAAAAATATGTTTTTATTTGTTTTAAAATATTAAATTAAATTAAAAGTGGAAAAAAAAGAGAAAAAGAAAGATTAGTTTCCGTTATTAAAAATATATTTTAATTAGTTATTTGGTATTATCAATGGACAGACTTAACGTGTTAAACCTTAGAAGTTACACGAAATAGAAAATTTCTTACATTATTAAACTGCAGCTTTATTGTTTAATAATTTGTTCATTTTTGTAATAAAAATTCAACCTAAGTGTATATTAATAACAAATACTTTTATAATCTAAATATTATATTACTACTTCAATAATAATTTGATTAATTTTAAGTATATATATATAATTATGCATTTATTTTTTTATGGATACTATTATGCTAGTAGTAATTTTGAGTAAATATCAAACTTAGTTCCTAAATTTAAAACATACAATCATATTAGTTATTCAAATTAAAAAAATTATAAAATATATTTCTAAAAGTGGAGATCAATAATTATATTAGTTAAAAATTTAAAATAATATAATTATAACTAAAAATAATATTTAAAACAATATAATTATAACTAAAAAGATAATATTAACATATTCAAGAACTATATCAGCTATAAATAATTTAAAGATATATATATTAATATATTCAAGAACTATCAATATAAGTAATTTAAAGATTTTTTCTGTAACGACTCGCCATGGTCTCTACATTTAGTGGAATCGCACTACTGCTAGTGAGACTAAGAGAAATATTAAGCTGGATAACTCATACATACATGTACAAATAAAAAATGAAAATAACTAAGTTTCTGGTTATAAAATAGAACTACATATATGTACAGTCATCCCAAAAATAATATTCCTTAATGTCGGTCAAGCACAGACAAAACCGTTACCCAAAATGGTAACTCTAACACGAGGATCAAAACTCCCTGTCTCACAGCGGACACCTCAACTCCAAGCTAGCCCTGACCTGCTCCCATACCAAGTATGATCATCGCAGTTCCACCACATGGAAACAGAAGGGTAAACTAGAGTTCAAAACCAATCATACAAGTATAGAATAAAATCTATACTACACATCATCCAACTATCAATCATATTCATAGAGTCACACCATACACTCTATCCAACACTACTCATGCATAAAATACAATCCACCAATCATGAAGTCAAACACCACACTTCATCATATTAATAATCATGCAATAAATGCATCTCATGACAGATATCAATGCATATCAATCATCTAATGCGTCGTCACGCATACACCTAGGAGATCTCCATAACAATAGAGCTGTATAAGTGACATTCCATCCTACCGAAACCACCCCAACCGTTTTCACGCCCAATGCGCCCGCTCGGTCACAGCTAAACAGGATATATAATCCTCCCTCGGGTTTACTCGGATGATGTCACTTACACAATTGGAAGTCCAGATCCACCGTCAGGTATAGCACAGCTGGGTACGGGCTTACCACGACCTTGGCATGCATTAACCAAGTCAATTGTGGAGTTCGCCCACCGACTATCCGCAAGGATCCACGCACCTTCCCGAGTACTTGGTTAAGGGAATAACCCTCGACCTCATACCTCGCTCCAACACTAGCTAAGGACTTAGAGGAGACTCACCCAACCCAGTGGCCTATCTGAGCACCACTCTCCCAAATCCAGTGGCCTCCCTGAGCACCACTCTCATATATCAGTGGCCTATCCAAGCACCACTCTCAAGAGACTCTATGTGAGCTCTTCCAGTTCGAAAATATTTTCCTCTCCTCAAGTCCTAGGCTAGACTCATGCCATAGGCATCACATGTAATTATACATCATACATCATACATGGTCTGCCCACCATTATGATCAACAATCATACACATGTCATAAGACATCACATGCAATAGTGCATCATATACATCATATATGGTCTACCCACCATTATGATCAATAAACATACTCATATAAACATATACACATGTCATATCATATTCAAATATTCATACGTATCATCACAAAACATACATATGAATCACATCGCACCATACATCATATATCATACATACATGATCTAAAACTTTAACTTTAAACATGCATAAGCATCAATTTATTCATAAACATGTTCACGCCTGGCGTAGCCTGAGCTCGCCTAGCCTAATCCCAACCTGAGAGACCTAAAACTCATCCACACTCGCGCGTTCAACTCACGCTCGGTGTCCTTGAGATAGAGACCCCTAAGAGTCTCCACGCCTGACGCAACCAAATCACGCCTAACCCAACATCCAATCCGAGAGCCCTAAGCTCTTCCACGCCTGGCGCGCTCAACCTCCGCCCGACCTAAATCCAAGTCAGAGAGTTCAAAACTCTCATCCAAACTAACAAATTCAGCCACATGCAAACACAAAACATAATGCATAGGCTCCATACGACTCAAAATAAACATAAATCTCACATGCATCCAACCTATGCATCAAAATCATCAAAATCCTCTGTTTTTTTTTCTCAAAACCCCAAAAATGAGATTTTCTTCAATCCACCTATGGATTCTCAACATTCATGCACCTATTGAGTTTGTAAACTCACATGCAAGCTAAATAACATACATTCTAGCTTCCCTCACCTGAAGATTGACTCAAAATAGCCAAAAGCTGCGAAGAAGTAGAATTCTCTTCCGAAGCTCAACCCGGAACTTCAATCCTCCCAAAGCAAGCTTCCTAATCTGAATTTCAAGAAAAGCCAGAAGGCGTTAGTGATCTAGAGGAGAAAAAGAATCATACAGAGAAATTTGGGAGAGAAAGGAGCTCACAAACCCAGAGTCCTTCTCTCTAAAAACTCATTCTCCTCAACTGCCCCAACCCCTATTTATAGACATTTTGGAGTGGCCAGAACGGCTTGTACCGGAACCGGAACGACCCGTTCTGCACTCCCTCAACACGCACAAAAACCCACATGCAGAATGGCCCGTTCTGAAATCAAAACGGCCTGTTCTGGTACTCATCCAGAACGACCCATTCTCCATCCAGAACAGCCCGTACTCCCTCTAGAACGGCCCGTTCTCCTTCCAGAACGGCCCGTTCTCAACTATGTTTTTCATGTCAATTTAGTAGTTTGGAACGGC